ATGGCTTACCTAGACGACATCGTCGTGTACTCCGACACCTTCGAGGACCACTTACGTCACTTGAAGGATGTTCTCGAGAAGCTGCGGGCTGCGGGGATCACTTTGAACCCCAACAAAGCCCAAATCGCTGAGACCCGTATCTCCTTACTGGGTTTCGTGATCGACGACGGGCGCGTTGCGCCCTGCCCGCAAAAGCTCCAGTCTATTCTGGAGTATCCGAGGCCGTCTGATGTCAGCTCTCTGCGCCGCTATCTCGGACTGATGAATTTTTATCGTCACTTTATTCCGGGATGTGCGGCCCTCCAGGCACCTTTCACTCGTTTGTTGAGGAAGTCTGAGAGATGGAGTTGGGGTCCCGAGCAGGAGGCGGCTTTTATTCGTCTTTCCAACGCTCTGGTTGACACAGCCAGCTTAAGGCTGCCCGACCTGAACCGGCCGTTCGTGATTCAGACTGACGCCAGCAATCTGGGTCTCGGGGCAGTTTTGCTCCAGGAACACGAAGCCGAGCTCCGACCGGTGGCCTTTGCCAGTCGATCGTTGACGCCGGCGGAGGTCAACTACAGCACCACGGAGAAGGAGTGCCTGGCGATCATTTTTGCCCTGTCCAAGTTCGACATGTTTGTCGATGGAACCACCTTTGTGGTAGAAACGGACCATATGGCACTTGTGTGGTTGCAAAGGCTTCGCGAACCCTCTGGTCGTCTAGCAAGGTGGGCCTTGACGTTGCAGCGCTATACCTATGTGGTGCGCTACAGGAAGGGGAGCTCGAATGTCGTGGCGGACGCCTTGTCGCGTGCCCCCGTTTCTTGCCCGAACCCTCCCGCGTCCGACGCCCCGGCTCAGCACGTAGCGCCGTTGGCGCCGCGTGAAGCCGAAAGCCAGTCCCAAAAGGAGGCGATTCCGCCACATTCCTCGGACGAAATCGTGAACCACCTGAACCTGATTAGTTCGGTGGGGATTGCGTTCAGCAGAGAAGAGCTCCTCAAAGCTCAGCAGGGTGATCCTTTGTGTCGAGAGATGATCGACGAGCTCAAGAAAGAGCTGGACTCCGCGGAGTCGGACGGCGCGGCCGTCGGGCGAATAGCAGCTGGTAATGCTGTGGAAAACGCCGAGCACCGAGAAACTGCTGGTATTGCAGTTGGTGCGTTGGATTCATACCTGCTTGACGCTGACGGACTCCTGCTGCGGTACATACCATCCGAGAACGACACTAATGCGTTCAAAGTGGTCGTACCCCGCAGTCTTAAGGGCGCACTTATGCGCTTTTATCACGACACGCCCCTGGCAGGGCACGCGAGTGGCCCCAAGACTTATTTCAAGTTGTGTCACTTCGCCACCTGGCTGGGCATGAAGCGCGACGTACTTCAGTATGCGCGTTCGTGTCACCTGTGCCAGAGCCTCAAGCCACGAGGCGGCAAACCCCCGGGCCTCCTGCAGCCAATTCAAAGCCAGCAATCCTGGGCTCTGGTGGCGTGCGATCTGGTCGGACCCTTTCCAAAGAGCCCGAAAGGACACCAGTATTTGCTGGTCGTCACCGACCACTTCAGTAAATGGGTAGAGCTTTTTCCTCTGTGCAAACTGACGGCCCGGGCAGTGCTGGACAAGCTAATGGAGGTGTTTTCCCGTTTCGGATACCCTCAAGCTTTGATTTCTGACAACGCCAGCATCTTCACGGCAAAGGTATTCGCCGATTCCTGTGCAGCCCTTGGCATAAAGCACAAAAGGACGACGACGTACCACCCCCAGTCGAACATCACCGAGCGTGTCAATCGCAACCTGAAGCCTATGCTTGCAGCGTATGTGGAACGACACCGGGATTGGGATGCCTATCTACCCGAGATCGGGTTTGCACTCCGCTCCACGGTGAACAGATCGACAGGTTTCAGCCCTGCTCTCCTCAATCTTGGGAGAGAGCTGCCGAACCCCATGGATCGGGTCTTGGCGGCTACAGGCGACGGGGGCGGCGCGCAGCCAGCCTATGCTGACTACGCCCGGCGGTTGCAAACGCGGATGGAGGCGGCCCTGTCGAAAGCCCGCCAAAATCTGTGCGCAGCCAGAGCCAGTCAGAAGGCTCAGTACGACCGTTCACACCGGGATGTCCGCTATCAAGTGGGCGATCTGGTGCTCAGACGAACGCACGTCTTGAGCGACGCTAGCAAAGCCTTTTCTGCTGCGCTGGCACCGAAATGGTCGGGCCCCTACCGAGTAAAAGAGACTGTTTCTCCTCTCGTGTATAGACTGACGGACCTGCAATCCAGGGACGTTGGCGGGCCGGTGCACGTCGGCGATCTCAAACCCTACATTAGCAGGGATGTGACGGCCGAGGAAACGTGTCGCATGCGTCAGCAGACACGCACGAGGCGTTCCCGTGACGGCCCCTCTGGGCCACAGCCGCGCTACAATCTACGGAGTTTTCGGTCCTAATGTCCGAATAACTTCGTATGACTGAGGCCATAGTGCTGGCTATGTCGTCTGCCCAAGCCGCTTATAGCCAACGGACGGGTTTCCGGGGGCTGGAAAGCCGGATAATGTGGGCAGCTTCCGTGTCTGCTGGTGGGGTGAGCTCTGTACTTTTTCTCAGAAATTCTCCCCCTTGGACTCCGCCGCAGAGCAGACCCTAGTTGGTTTACTTTGCGTGTGGACAAGGAAGAACAAATGGCTTTTCTTTGTGTGTCTCCTGCCCTCCCTTGTCGGCGGTAGAAGACAGACCCCAGCCATGTCGTTCGCGCTTTCGGAATGACTTCTTCCCGGCTCGACAGACGAACCCCCGGAGTGTTTGGGGGTGCCGTCAGGTCTGAGCCGCTTTTGCGCAAGGTCCATCATGGAGGCGCGCGGCAGTGGCCTGGAATGCCGCTGCCCCCGCTCTGGTGGAGGGGGACGGGTGAGCCAGGCGGAAGTGCTTTCCCCTTTTGGGGAAGCTTGCCCCCTCAACTCGCAAACGAGGCGTCTTTTCGTCGCCTTTGCTCTCCGCCGCCCGAAAGAAGGCTCGAGCGGCATGGCCTAGCTTTGCCTTGCTGCTCGCCTGACGGTGGGCCACCAAGAGATTTATGTGGCTCCTGTCGGTTGCCGACCCCGTTTGGAGACAGCAACTTTTCCCCCGTTGGACTTGCGTCGGTCCGCAGGCTCGTCGTTTCCGTTTTGAAATGGCTTGAAGCCTGGCCGACCAGGACCTGGCTCGCCCGCTCCGTGACACCTGATACTCGCAGAGCGGAGCGGCCAGGGATGGCGGGCCACTTTGTGACTCTGGAGGCCACCCGTCCCATTGGAGGGGTTTGCCAGAAGCCACCATGTCGCCGACCGCCAAGCACGCAGGGTCATCGTCGTCAACATCTTCGCCGTCTTCGCCGTCGCCGTCGGGCACTCGGGCCGGGGGTCAGCGTCGCCGGGGTGGCCGTGGCGGGCCGAGGATGGAGCGGTCGCCGCCGTCGTCTGTGTCCCGGGCTGGAGATCGACGTGGGCTCCGTCGCCGGGATCGTCGTGACGGCCCCGGGCAAAATCGGATCCTGGGGAGCGGACGGGGCTTGCCTGCCCCACGTTCGGCAACTCCGGTCGGGCTCTCTGTGGCCACCTGGACCTCCCAGGACGGCACGGAGCCCCCTCGGTTCTACGTCTCGAGAAAGCCCTGGGGGGACCAGAGACGACCGGAGCCGGGGCATGCACTCGACCGCGTCCCCTGGCCGTTCCGGGGCCGCACGGTCAGCGAGATGGACACCCGAGCGCGCGGTGCCTGCCTCCCGTCTCGGCCGGGGGACATCTTTTGCTGCGTCTGCGGCGGGCTGCTTCTTCACGGCGACGGGCACGACCGGTCGCTGTTCCACCGGAGCCGGGCCAACGGCGGGGACGGCGACATCATCGGGCAGGGACCCCGGAACCGGGGGGGCAACGGGGGCTTGAGCACCCGCTGACATTTTCCAGGGGGTGCTGGGCAATATGCTGAGCCCCCGTGCGTTTGGCTCGAGGCGTACTGAACAATGGCTGCACCCCTCCCCCCCCCCCCCCCCCTCCCTTCTGTGTTCCCGTTGCTGCTCAGCTCCGCCAAGCCACGTACTTGGCTAAGGGCAAGCACGTGGCTCTCTGTTTCTGTTACGGCTCGTACCCACCCAATACGCAACCCCCGCCGACGAACTTCCAGAAAAAAAAAATTACTAAGTAAAGCAAAGTGCCAGTAAACCGCAAACGACGCGGCAGCTTAAAAAAAAAATGGGAAAAAAAAAAAAAAGCCGGCGCCTGCGGCCTGCATAGCACCAGTCAGGGACTGGGGCCCTCCCATACTCCACTGGCGGGTTGGCCATACGGGGGAACGCATAGCGCACTGTTTTTGTCCAGACAGCCAGCCGGCTTCCTCGTTCGGCCTCAATTCTGCAGCAATGACGTTTCCCAAAAAATACAAAAATTTCTTCCGACATTTTTTTTTTTTTTTTCAGCTGCGTTTTTGTTGTTGTTTTGGGGATCTGAGTAACCACGAACTTCGGGTAATTGCTTTCGTGTGGATCCGATCGCGAGGCGGGGAGACGGTCTGCGGGAAAAGAAAGCCCTTCTTGAACGGGGGACTGCCTACAGATGTAGCAAGTTGAGGGGAAAAAGTTTCCCAACTCCCAAGGCAAGAGGAGGCCTCAGCAGGCGACAGAGGTTGTAAGCGGAGACATCGCACTGCAGTCTGTGTTGAAGCGCCGCTGTCACGGTGGTCGTCGGAGACATCAAAGGAACGCGGCATTCTCGCCTGTATTCCTGTGTCTCGTTGTCGAAACACCATTTGGTTCTTGGCGAGCCAGCCTGCTATCTTCAGGCGGGCGCCCTATTATACACCCAGACGGTTTCAGCCTATTTTCAAAGACGACCATAAAATACAGGAAACATGCTGAAATAAAAAAAGGACATCGCCAGTGAAGGTGCTTGTGCGAGAGGGATGTGTTTTCCTCGTCTCCAGCAGTCCGTCTGCTTCCTCCTCCCCAGCCCTCTTTCTCCTCGCCCTGTCACTCCACTGAAACTGCAGTTGTAGATCTGTCACTGTGAAATCCGCGGACGGTTTCTTTGAACATCTCATCATCAGAGGATGTACGGTTGTTTTTTTCAACGAGTACAACGCTAAAAAAATACAGTATTTAAAGTTTTAATCATTATGGCGACCAAAAGGACGCTCCTCGATGCGTGGTTGCGAGGATCCAAGAAATTGGCAGTTTGTCAGGGTGAGCAGCCACCGGATATATCCAAAAACGTCGGCACGGCAGCAGCGAACCGTATCGTACCAAGTGTCACCCAGAATTTACAAAAATCTGGTAGGTTCTCTTTAATTTTTCTTTTTGTGTGTGTGCATGCGTAGCAAAGCAAGAGAGCGAAAGTCAAATCTTAAATCGCATGAAAGGCATTGCAGGGAGTTCACAATGTTTCCTGGGTCCTATGAAATAACCGCATAAAACAGTTTTGTAATAGATTGCGAAAATATTTAGCACACATACGTAGATAGTGGAAGTAATTCAGTAAAATTTTACTCAGGTTAATTAACGTAAGGAAAAAAAAACAGTTTTGTTTTATTTTGCGTGTGAACATCAAATAATATCTTGGGCCACTGTGGCATTAATTCTGTTGAAATGAAGGCCATGTTATGTAATATTTTATGTTTATTCCACCCATTTTTTTTCAATCCTAATAAACGCCTCAGTTGCCCAGAAAAACATTTCATAGTTTCGCAAAAAAGAGATTCCGCGGATATATACCCATAGAAAAAGGCTTCTTTATTTTTCACTTAAAATGTTTATCTTCCTTCTTACAAATAATGAATCCATTACCTTCGAACACCTCTGTAGCAAACCGTAGCACGCTACGTTATCAAGCAAATTTTCGCAGTCACTTAACGAGACATCGTAAGTGAACTCCCTCCCGGTAAAGAATGTCAGATTCGCTGACCGCTTTTGGTGGGCATTTGGTTTTAAAAGCCATATTTGGGGGTTTTACCTGTCAAACCAACGACAGGCATCTGGCACGCCCCAGCGGAGGACTGAGGATTAATTTTTACCACCCGGGGTTCTTTTGACGTGCAACCGAAAGCTCGGGCGCCTTCTCCGCCATAACCCTCCGTCAGATTGCGGCCACCGCGACCGGGATTCGAACCCGCCACCCGGGGACTCGCAGGCCGGCGCTTTGCCTCGCAGCCACCGAGGCGGCTGTCTTTTGCATTTAATTTTCAAAAGCATTGCATTGTGGTGACGTGTTCTAGTTGCATTTCTCTTAACGCAGAAACATAATTTTGCGTTTGCCTCGGTGTGTCGTATTTTTATCCCGCCTTAGTGAAAAAATATATAAACCTCAATCACTTCTTTAAGAGAAAAGAATGTTCTCGCCTTATACCCGTGCCAGACGGGCAGCTCGAATGGCATTTACAACGAATGACATTTGTGTGATTGGCAAATCAGCTCGCAATCTGTCGCGCGTGGAATGCGCTACGCCCGGAGTGTCGCGCGCTGATTGGCCATCCGCTTAAATGTCATTCGTTGTTAATGGCATTCGAGTTGCCCGTTTGGCACGGGTATTAGCGCGCGCCACATTCGCATTGGTCTAATGTAGATTTTTCAACGTGATAACAATAATCACAAGCGCTGTTGCCCAATAATGAGACCAATGGCGACCTTTGTCGAAAGTTTTTTTTTGTTACCGATATGGCCCAAATCGATTAAGAGAACAAATTTATGGTTCAATGTTGTTTATCCTGTGCAATTTATTGAGCACAGCCTGTAAAATTAATAATGATTTAAACGACTTAATTTTTGCGGGCTCAAAATTTCGCGAATCGGGCCAAAGCTGAAAATTTGAAATTATTCGCGGGTTCTAAATTTCGCGAATCGAGAGTAGCTTCCCTAGCGTTCACATATTACCCGAATTGTTCGCGGCACGTATTTTTCGCGAATTTTAGGCGATTCGCGAAATTCGAGAAAATTAGGTCCTCGCGAAAATTTAGTAGTTTATAGTAACTATAACAGGCAAAGTTTTTTTTCCGTTGAACCTCCTCGGTGTGGTACACATTTTTATGTCTTGTCAAAACACATCTTGACGCTAGCGAATCATCTAAAGCGCAAAGATGGTATCGAGTTCGTTAAAAGGTTTAAAAGCGCAAAAAACACAGAACTAAGAAACAACACATAAAACACAGACGGCCGCTGATTTTCAATTTCTTTGGCAGTGTGTTTTTTGCGCTTTCAGATCTTTTAATGAACATTAACTTATTAGCCCAATCCCAAATATTAATTCATGTTATCGAGTTTTTTTTTTTCTTTATTTTTTCTTGGTGCCGCTTTTACATTTAAACTCACCCAAGTGTACGTCAGGGGTTGCTCTTTGAAAGGTATCAGGCGTACGTGCACGAAATTAGTCGTGTAGACCAGGGGTTCTCAAACTAAGTTCCGCGGGCTGGTCTTCTGGGTTCTGCGAGCTCCCAAATGTAGGTTTTGCCTTTTTTTACATATTTGTACCAGAATACTAATATACGGGGGTACTGCGAATATTTAAAACCTTCGAATATCGAAGCGAATAGCCCCATATTTGATTCGTACTTCGAATTGAATAGGACTATTCGAAAAAATAGATATATTTAGCAAGCATTGCCAAGTTTGAAACTAGATCAGCCGAATTTCTGAGCCCCGAAAAAGCCAAGCTGCTCCGCCGCAATGCCCCGGTTTAAAGTGGCGCAGCTTAACACCAGCATGCTGGGCGAAGCGGTGATATGCTTTCCCCAGGCGCGCTGGTGCAAAGCGCAGTATCGCCCACACAGTGATGCTGTAAAATTTTGGCTATTTGTTTTCGACATCTTGTAGACCCTGAGATGGGAAACAATAAAAAGCGGACGAAAACAACAGTCTCAAAATATGGTCCCAATCTCAGCGTCTACAAGAAGTGCATTACTTACCAGCTCGCCTGTACACTAGCACTGCTTACAATTTTTTTTTAATAGTCAACGTATTCAACTTACACTTTTTTTTATTTTTCTTCTAACTTCTTCAGCGCTCGATGATGGTGGAAGCACGGTCGGATTGTCTCCTCACCGCGGAGCGGATTGCCACAACACAGATGAAGCGGGCCACCAGCCTCTGCCTGGATTCCACCCAGCGAAGAACTACGAATTCCCGAAGAACAACACCGACAGATCATGCCAATACTCGTGGTTCGAAAGGTTTTCCTGGCTTCAGTACATCGAAGACCGCGATGTTGTTGTTTGCCAGAAATGCATCCAGGCATTTAGAGAGAAGGGAGACGATTCTGCAGTCATTGAACCCAGTTTCATAAAAACTGGATTTTCAAACTGGAGGAAGGCGCTCGAAAGATTCCGCGGCCACGAAAAGAGTCGCTACCACGTCGAATCCGTTGCGTATCTCGAGACGAAAAAGAAAGGCTTGGTCGTTATTGGACTCCTCACCAAGCACGCAAGCAGGCAGCAAGAGGAAGCACGAGCTGCGCTGCGCGTGATCATCAGTTCGGTGCGATACCTTTGCACCACTGGCCAGGCTTTGCAAGGGCGCACCAAACAAGAAGGTAACTTGATTGAGCTCCTGGAAGAACGATCAGACGATATACCTGCGCTAAAGAAGTGGCTGACTCGAAGAGACAAATGGCTAAGTGGGGAAATCCAAAATGAGATGATTGAAATCATGGCGCAAATGCTCCAGCATGACCTCAGCACTGCGATAAAGACGAGTCTCTTTTTCGGAATCATTGCTGATGGAACGACCGACGTGACGGGAGACGAGCAGTTCACGCTATGTTTGCGTTGGGTGGAAAGAGGGTCAATGAAAGTGCACGAAGATTTCATCGGCGTATACAATCCACCCGACACAAAGTCGGAAACACTTTTCAGTGCCGTGAAAGACATGATTGTACGTCTGGGCTTTAGCTTCGACAGACTGCGAGGAATGTGCTTTGATGGAGCTGCAAACATGTCAGGTCGATTTTCTGGAGTGCAAAAAAGGATTGCTGATGTCCAGCCAAAGTCAGTGTACATTCATTGCAGCAACCACTCCCTCGATCTGGCCCTGCAAGAAGTCGGCCGTGGCAATGAATTGGTTGCCGATGCCCTAACAACTGTGAAAGACGTTTCAAATATCATCCTGGATTCAGCAAAGAGGAAAAGTGTTTACAGCAACATCGTTCTTCCTTCCGTGGGGGAAAATTCGGATCGTGGTCCACCGCCAGCCACCCTGCTTTCTTTGTGTCCGACGCGATGGGTGGTTCGGGTGAAATCTGTGCAAAGATTCCTCGAAAATTACGAACGAGTTCGAGCAACACTTTGGGAAATCCTCCAAACGCCAGGTTCAGTTCGAGATGACCGCAAAGCGGCTATGAGAGGATATGAGAAGATTCTGGGCAAGCTAGAAACAGTCTTTGGATTAAAGTGGCGATCGCAGTTTTCGGGCCATGTGAAGAACTCGCAAGGGACACTGCAAAGCGTTCATTACAGCGCCACTGGGGCCAGACAAGCTGCGAAGATCCTTACACAGACCTTAACACAACTAAGATCGGATGTCAGTTTCGAAAGCATCTGGGAGGAGTCGAAGGACGCGGCGGAGAAGTTGGGCTTGAAACAACCGTCTGCCAAACCACCGAGGCCTGCAAAACCACCGGCACGATTCGAACAAACCAGCACCCCAGCAAGACCTGCAGTTCTTGATGCGAAGACAAGGTTGAGAAAGGAGTATTTTGCGGCGATCGACTGCGTCACAAGCGAAATCAGCAGAAGGTTTGACCAGCCCGGCATGGAGAGACTAGCGACGCTAGAGAACGTTCTGATCCACGCAGCAGCTGGACAGCGTTTCAGCGCGGAGCGTCTGAGAGACGAACTCGGCTCTCACGCCCCTGACTTTGAGCTAGGAAGGCTTGGCGCACAGCTCATGCTCCTTCCGACCATCTCAGCTGCACCAATGAAAAAAGTTGAAGATGTGGTACAAGCCCTAAATGACAATTCTCAGACGGTGCGCAACCTCCTTGACCAGGTAGTAGCCCTGGTAGAACTTTTATTGACCGTGCCTGCGTCGGCGGCTACAGGAGAACGCTCTTTCAGTGCCCTAAAGAGAGTCCAAACGTGCCTGCGAAATCGGATGACACAGAAACGTCTCGGCCAGCTGCTTCTGCTTCATGTCCATAAGGAGAAGACCAGGCAGCTTGACTTGAACGCTGTGATGGGAGAATTCGTCTCCAGAACCGCTGAGCGGTCAGCTACTTTCGGCGTGATTGCGCAACTTGCGTCATGAACTATTTTCAAAAAGATCGTGTGCACTGGTTCTTGCTCCAAATAAATATGGACGACTAAATAAACCCCGCTTTTTTTGGCAACGTAGTATTTCTTCAATTTCTGTAAAAAGGTTACTACTGCACTCTAATATACATTATATAGGAATTAATATATTTACCAATAATGGTAAGTAAATGATCAAAACTGCGAGACAAAAGAATGACGAAAACTCCGACTCAATAGGATGCTGCAGAAAGCCGTTAAATTTATAGAACGGACGCGAGGCATGGTTAATGGCGGAACACGTCTATGCGAATACTAGCAAGCTTCACTGCTATTCAACGATATATAGTATTGTTCTACGGTGTCGATGTAAAATGCACCGGGAAGATCGGCGTCTGCACGGAGAGAGCTCATATTTTCATCGAAGGTATATTTTAGTCCTGCACGCATTCTTGCAAAATTTCTCGGCGTAACTCTGCGTCTGTGAATGTTAGGCATAGCTCGGTTTCATTGGAATTTAATGCTGACGACCGCGTCCACCGGTGGTAAACTCGGTCTGTATGGCGGACGCATTTTTGAAATTTTCAAGAATGTCACAACTTTTCACAAGAACAAAGCTACGCCGAGAAATTTCAGAGGAATCCGTTCAGGATTAAAATACACCTTCGTTGAAAATGTGAGCTCTCCACGTGCAGGCGTCCGATTTTGGCGCATTCTACATCGACACCGTAGATCGATGCCACCGTGCAGCTACTACTATTGGATCAGATCGTGTCAATATTTCATTGCTTCGTGACAAGAATTTTGAATAATGTAGGGACATACGGTATAGGAAATGATAATTAACCTTGTATTAACAGTGAAATCTTGGTAATGGATGCTTTTTCTTAGATTTTACTCCCCCCCCCCCCCCCCCCCCCCCCCCCCTTCACCTTTTATTTCGACCGCCAGCCCCCCCACGTAAAACACACTTCCGGGGTCGCTGTCATCGGGCCACGGCGCGTGGACGACCCGGCGGAGCACCCGGACGCCATCCGCTGTTTCGGCGCCCGGCTGGCCCGGGACCCAGTGTTCGCTGCCGCCGCCCTGGCAGCGGCCGGGCTCCAAGGGGTGGCTGCTTCGGCTCCGGCAGCAGTGGTACCGGGACCGCAAACGCCGCCCATCGACGAGCAGGCCGGGCCCAGCAGACTCCAGGACCTGATTGACGTGGATGTTGACATCGACCTGTTTTGACCTGGAGGCCGCTGGGCAGAGACGACGACTTCGAGCCCCTTTGGGCTCGGGTAAGCCTGCGATTCCTTTTTTTTATTTATGAGAGCCGGTGGGCCTCCCTCTTACATCGGGGAGGCCCACCAAGCGTTTTAAGGAGGGGGGGATGTGGGGACCGTTGGTCGCCCTTCCCCGATGGCCGGTATAACGGCCGTGGTTCGGGACGCGCGGCCTGGTTGCCGTGAGTTTCAACCTGTTCGTGAAGCGTAGGAGAGCCGCCTAGCTTGGGGGGCTCTCCTCCTCACTCTCTCCCGGGGGGACCTTTTCCGTCCCCCCGCTCATCCGGGACCTAGTTGTTTTGGGTGAGGACGACGCCCGCGGGGGGAGGAGGTCGACGCACGTTCCCGACATCGGGAACGTGGGGGACTCCTCCCGCGGATGCGATAGAGATCGGACGTGTCGCGAAGGACTTCCTTTGCCCGCTCTGGACTGCGCTCTCGGGACGGTGTCGACAGGGTGAGCCTTTCATCTGACCTTGTCGGCGCGGGGGTTTTGGGGACCAGTGTGTCTTTTGGTGTTCCAATAAACACCGTTGGACCCAGTCCTATTGTGGTACGTGCTCCTCCTTTTTAGAGAAGCGATCAGTTGTGCGGCTGACGTTCGGACCCGCCCGTAGCGGTGTTCTCGAGAGAAAGCTGCGGGGTGTGGGAGTAGGCTTGGCGTCTCCTGATTAGAGACCGCCGCTGAACCCTTCGGTTACCACCACCCGTGACCATCCCACATATTCTGGTGGCATTTTATGTGGGATTTTGCTAGCTACCAACACAGGTACCGATAGAGTAACCAAAGGATTGTCTCAACAGCGGCGATATCTCAAAGGAGACGTCAAACCTAGTAGCGCGGTCCCCACATCTCCGCGGCAATATAGACGAACGTTTAGGGCTAGATTACCGCGGGTCGGTTCGATTAATTACCTCCGTCGGTGCCAATGATCGTCTACCTTGTCTCACTCTCTCGAATATAGCGGAAGAGAAGACACACGTACCAGAGTAAGGACAGAGTCCAAGAGCATTTATTGGAACACTCTTAAGATGAACTACTATGTCCCCATCCAAAATGCCCCCCGCGCCGGCAAGGTAAGAAAAGGTCCTTACCTGGCCAGACGCGGGGTTCCGGAGAGCCAAGACCGGGGAAGCATCGGAGAAGTCGCCGACGCACGTCCTATCTCTTTCGCGGTCAGCCGGACGAGTCCCTTTCCCGAAAGCGGGAAAACAAGAGGCGAAACCTCCTCGCCTGTCGGCAGTGATTCGCATCCGAGCGGGGGAACGGAAAGGGGTCCCCCCGGGAGAGAGTGAGAGGAGAGCCCCCCAAGCCAGGCGGCCCTCCGTCTCACGGACAGGTCGGAGCTCACGGCGAAGAAGGCCGAGCGTTCCGACCCGCGGCCGTTATCGCAGCCATCGGGGAAGGGAGACCAGAGGAATCCCCACATCCCCCCCTCCTTAAAACGGTAGGTGGGTCTCAAGAAAGAATAAAGGAGGCCCACCTGCTCTCATAAAATAATATCTCTCTCTGCGCACCCCCAACAAATACACGCGACACCCAGCGCGCGTCTTCACAGTGTCCGTCGTCAACAGCTCACGCACCAGGCCGAAGAAAAGGAAAGTTCCAGTTCCAAGCACTTGACAGCCGCCGCCACAGCACGGCAGAGCATCACAGGCACCGCGCTGACGCCGCTGGACCCAGGTGTCGCGGTACGAGCTGGCCTGCAGTGGGGGGCAGCCAGGCCGTCGTGAAGGCGGCAGCACCAAAAAAGACCGACGACCGCCGCCCACCAGCGGAGACCAGCTGGGGAAGTCCCAGACACGCCGCCCGGGGGGTTCGGCGCCATCTCGGCCGCAGTGGGCTGGTGAAGGGGGGTGGACGACCTCGGAGCAGACCTGCGAAGTCGTTTTGCGCCAGCAGCCAACACGCCCAGAGCCGGCCGTAGACCTCCCGAAAGGGAAGAAAGGGCGCCGCCGCCTCCAAACCAGGGGACGCGCGCAACCGACGATCGCCTGCCTCAGGCCGCAAAGGCGGCAAAACGGGCAGGGGCAAACGACAAACAAAAACCACAAAAAAGGTGGCCAGTTTGTCAATGGTGACAGGAACATGCCAGACTCCAGAGTGACCCGATTCGACACCGGAAGAAGAAGCCATAAAAAGAGCGCCCCTCCGTTCGAAACGCGTCCACATACCAAGCAAACTAATTGAGTTCGCTTAATGTAGGCCCCGGAGAGAGAGCTTCTAGGAAAAACGCCGAGTTCTCAATCCTTTGCGCAGGCAGCTAACACAGAGGCTGCCCACATTACCTGGTTTTATAGTTACCGGAAGAGTCCGTTGACTATAAGTGGCCAAAAGCAGATAACAGTCTGCAGCTGGCCCGTCTTCTGAAGTCGAGGTAAACGGATACGCGGACTTCGAAGGGGCGATAGAAACAAACCGCCATGCATGCGCGCCTGCGAGCGGGGAAGACGCAAGTTCCCGCGCAAAATAGCCGCCATCTTGCTCCTTAGGGAGGAAGACAAAAGGGGCCGCAGCTCACATGCTCAAACCTGCTAGTTTCGCCAACTATTTGAGCTAGCTAGCTTACCGAGGCCAGAAAAACATGTCTTGCACCCGATACGGCTTGATCAAGGGCTCACAACGGTGTGGACCCTTCTTTTGAGGCAAGGCCAGGTTTCAGAGCAACGTAACTGCTAAGAGTCTTAGAATCGCTCTTCCACCTGGATCACGCGAGTCTGACAGATATCGCCAAAGGGCGCTCTGGCTACATGGCGCCTGGGTTTCAGAGCAACATAACCTCCGAAAGTCTTGGAGTCACTCGTCCACCCAAATACTGTCGAAGTGCGCCTCAGACCGCGTAGCGCCACCACCATGAACGCAAAACTAGTGTCGTTCCTGGAAAACAACAACAGGCTGCAGGGGTACGGTGGCATCAAGCAGATACAAATCTTTCCCTAAGAAAACCCTCCGCGCCCACTGCAATACCAGCAGTGAATACAGCGCGCGCGTCAACAGTGTGCAAACTGCTTCTCGACGCCGACGGTTACGCGGCCCGGCTCCCGGAGCCCGTCAGTAGCAGTACCAGCTACTTATCGACGTTATTGGCAGGCGTACCGTCCGACTCTGAATGAGTGTCCGCGACTACTCCGAGTCAAAGAAAACGCGAATATTTACATTCCCAGATTGCACTGCTGATCCTTCGCTACTCTTTTCTGCCAAGCCTCGCTACCCGCCGGACATAGAAGTCCACCCGGTTCTCGAAAACATCATCAAAACTTCTATATACAATTTCCCTTCAGGACAAGTTGTTGGTGGCGCGCAAGGAACCTAGAGTTCCCGCACATGCTCCCCCGAAGGGGGAGCAGAGCCGCGCATTTGTTTTCCCCGCGCCGCCACGCCGCTATTCGCCGAGATCCATCACGTGAGGAGCAAAGCATCCACGCCGTGCGAGAAAGCCACCTTTACGGTCGCCCCGCCGACGTTTCTCTTGCCCCGGCGTATGTTTCCCCGCTTTCCGCCTCCTTTTCCTCCTCTCCTGTTTTCCGTGCGCGGCGGCGCGCGCGGCGCCGCTATTCGCCATATTTAGTCACGTGAGGAGCAAAGCATCCATGGCGTGCGGAAAAGCCGGCGCTACGGCCACCCGCCGAGGCTGAATGCGCAACTCTGCTACCGTAGGTAGCACACACAGGAACTCTAAAGGAACCCAAATACACACAGGTGAAGGGTTCGCCTCAAGCACGGAGAACAAAGGGTCTCCCGCAACAACGAATGTTGCTTGTCGCACGCCAATTCAAAACAGGAACACGCGTACGAATCACACTGCGCTCGCTCAAAGGAGTGGCACTGCGGGTTGCCGACTCGGCATTAATCGCTCAACCATAAGTGGCGAGATCAGGACGCTCGTGGTACGGGGCGATCAAAGGCAAGGAATGCGGGCAAATAGGCCGGACAAAGGGACGGAGGCCAGGAGCCACGACCACGATAAAGGAAGCCGTGGCCCCACGTTGGGCGCCATTTTATGTGGGATTTTGCTAGCTACCAACTAACACAGGTACCGATAGAGTAACCAAAGGGTTGTCTCAACAGCGGCGATATCTCAAAGGAGACGTCAAACCTAGTAGCGCGCGGTCCCCACATCTCCGCGGTAATATAGACGAACGTTTAGGGCTACATTACCGCGGGTCGGTTCGATTAATTACCTCCGTCGGTGCCAATGATCGTCTACCTTGTCTCACTCTCTCGAATATAGCGGAAGAGAAGACACACGTACCAGAGTAAGGACAGAGTCCAAGAGAATTTATTGGAACACTCTTAAGATGAACTACTATGTCCCCATCCAAAATGCCCCCCGCGCCGGCAAGGTAAGAAAAGGTCCTTACCTGGCCAGACGCGGGGTTCTGGAGAGCCAAGACCGGGGAAGCATCGGAGAAGTCGCCGACACACGTCCTATCTCTTTCGCGGTCACCCGGACGAGTCCCCTTTCCCGAAAGCGGGAAAACAAGAGGCGAAACCTCCTCGCCTGTCGGCAGTGATTCGCATCCGAGCGGGGGAACGGAAAGGGGTCCCCCCGGGAGAGAGTGAGAGGAGAGCCCCCCAAGCCAGGCGGCCCTCCGTCTCACGGACAGGTCGGAGCTCACGGCGAAGAAGGCCGAGCGTTCCGACCCGCGGCCGTTATCGCAGCCATCGGGGAAGGGAGACCAGAGGAATCCCCACACACCGAACCCCACCTTGAGCTCCACAGAATCACTCAAAAAACACCACAGAAACACACACGAAAAGAAAAAAAAAGAAACTTGTTTATTTATTGAAGTAGCTTTGCTTTTGTAAGATTGATTGATAACAGTAAATTAATCATATTGTTCATGCGGAGACAGTGAAACGGACCATATTTTGAAGGCTACGGTGTGCTCATGCGATGATGTTGAATAAGTGTCTTTTTGGCCCCTCTTTGTAAAGGTGAATAAAGAAACTTTGAAGAAAAATGCGGGGAAGAAAGTGCAAGGGAAGACGCGTTTCAGTGTTTGCAAGACTTTTGAGAGCCGACAATAAAGCTTAACGATAACTTACTAATCCAAGCAATAAAGTGAAGTCCCTTTCGTGGCGATTTGAAGTCAAGTACTACCTGCTTTTGGTTACTCCTCTGGGCTGTAGCTGCATTGGGATGTCATCGGTCAATGTTGTTCCTACAATTTGCATATTTGAAATACCATACCTTTGCATCGCCTGAAACTAGATTCGCAACAAGTCGTGTATGCACTCAAGGCTACTGAAATAGCGGTCTATTAATAAAACTATGACATGTCCGTTATGCTCGGTCTAATGATTTAACCACATTTAATGTATTGTTAAAACTCTGTGACATAGCCCGCAATATGTTTTCTTTATGCATATATATATATATATATATATATACATATATATATATATATATATATATGGGTATGTATATATAACGTGCGAGTGTCTATAAACCCTGACGTCGCTCTTGTGAGTCTGTATCTGGCTTTTGTAATATAGTCGTTGCGGCGGAATTTTAGGGTTGTGACTGAATCTTTTTGATACAAATGTCCTTAGTAAGCAGGTATAAAAACCCAACTTTTCCCGACGATAACCTGACGCGTGCTTGTTGAACATGTGAGATGTTGAACGAACATCGCTGCGGTCCTATCGTGCAATGTTTAAGGGCTCAGCAGTCTCGTTTTGTCGGTGCTTTTTATACACCAACTCATGTTTACAAACAAACCGGAGCGCCCCTAGCGGACGCCACCGGCGCCGCGCATGCGCGATATGGGTGTGGGCAAGAAGCTCGCCGTCGCCCATAAACAAACCATTGGAACGCGATGTTGTCGGCGTCGGTGTCAGTCCCCCTGCCCTTTTTCGCGTTCAAATTGTTGATTCTATACGTCTTCCTGGCGATGTCTGACTACTTGAGCGGCGTCAGCGAAATGACCGAGGCTCGTTCCACCGCAAAACTTCGCGTGAATAATGTGACATGTGGCGATTCATTCTGCGTGGACGCCGCAGTATGTACGCTAAAGCCTGATTCGCATGATGCGATTTCGCTCGCAATTTTCAGTCGCGGCGCCGCTCGGGCTGAAAAAGCGTGAACCGTAGCTGAGATAGTCGACGTCGATACTGAAAATCACAAGCAGAATCGGACCAAGTGAATCAGGCATAACAAGTCGGTGATGGTCACTGGTAACAATGATCAACATCTTTTTGTATCTACTGTTTACATTGAGCTTGCTTACCAACCTTCAAATTTAAGTCTTTTGAGGCCTGCACTTACTTCTTATCGCAAGTACCGGGCCAACATTTGGTCTACGGGCCGGCGTCGTCTAACCGCTCATTCACACTGGAAGCGGATCCGCGTTCGCCAAACGGTTGCGAACGCGGTTGTATAAAGATCCAGCACAATTGCACGCGCACTTGATGCCATCGAGTGCGCGTGCAATTGTACTGGATCTTTATACAACCGCGTTCGCAACCGCTTTGCGAACGCGGATCCGCTTCCAGTGTGAATGAACGGTAAGAGAGCGGACGACAAGCAGAAACGTTTGAAAGAGCAGACGCGAGTTCGAACGATCAGGCGGCCGTTTGAACTTGAAGACGCACCGAATGTAGTTCGCAGGTGGTCTGCACAACTTGACGGTTTTCTGGCGTTCATGTTGAACGAAACAAATAAATTTGATGACCACAAGTATCCGTAAATTCAACCCAAAGTGCTTCCCGCCCAAGCAATCGTTGTCCGACGGCGTCTGCTTTTCCCTTTTCACCGCGCATATCCAGATTAATTCAGATTCTCGGACGAACCGAGCACGTGAAAACTGACCTTCAAACCTTTCTTGACCCTTTTGGTACGGCCCCAGTCGCGGCGTTTACACGAGAGGGCAGGTTTTTGTCTGGTTCCTTTCAAAACAACGCAGGAATACACGTCTGGCATGGGGGCTTCTGCCCACAGCCCGAGACCGGAAGTGCGACCGACGCGCCACCACCGCGCCTTGACGTCACAGAGTTGAGTTCGTGTATAGTTGTTTTCACCTCAAGAAAAGAGGAAGCTTTGTGTATCGTTCATATGCCGCGCGAAGTATATTTCTTACAAGATTTGGTTGTCTGAGGAAGAAGCGATGCCGTTGTCGTTTGAAACGTGTACGTTTTGACAACTTAAGGTATATATGATCTAAAATGCACCCACATATATCTTAATTCTCTACATAAAGGGGGAAATTATTAATGCTCCGAGAGGAACCGGACTCTTTTTACTCTGGTTCTTGAGGTGAAAACGAGTACAGAAGACGTGAAAGGTGGTGTCACTCTTTTTTGTATGTTACGTGGCTACATGAAATGCCTCAGTAAACTGGCTATGATCGCAGATATTTTCTATAACAAAACACAACATAGATGAGACGTTGTTTAGTAAAGCGCAAGAGCAGAGTGAGAACTATAGCGCAGCAATTTAAACACTCCCCCACCCCCCCCCCCCTACCCCCCCTCCCCCCCCCCCCCCTCCAAAAAAAAAATAAATAAATGGCTTTGCTTTGCATCTTTTTTCAAGAGTTTCCTACACAAAGGACAGAAAACACATGATAGTCAAGCCCCACCCCCCGAAACCTATCCTAGGGATTTGATGACAAAACGTTAGACTGACGACCCTGGATAAGCCCCTAATGTTAGCGTACAAGTTGCAATTTGAGCCATGTGTAACAACGGGCAGCCACGGCTTCCACATTAACAAAACAAATATTCACTTGTTCCGGTCGTGCGTGTGCGGAACATGAGGGGCGAACGTGCAAATAACGAGCTTTTTATTTCGTGTTTATAGTAATTTAAGATTTGTTGCATAACAAATCTTAAATTTCTTTCTTAAGTTTCTTTTTAACCAATCATGAGAGTCTTGCATTACCTCCAACCCGTTTACATGATGACTTTCACAAAAATCTGTATAAATAAATAAATAAATAAAATAAAGCGATTAAAATAACAATACATAGTCTTCCCTCAAGAAAATGAAGGACAAAAAACAGGAAAAGTGCAAGAAAAGTCATAAAAAAGGTAAACGGAGGTAAATCCACTAGCTAAAATAAGTAACTAGTGTCAAAAAAGCGAGTGCGTTTCCAAATATTAAGAGTTAGTAACCATTTTGTACAAACGATGTCGATTCGGGACCTCTTGTTGACAGTTTGTTACACGGAGAAGTGTGATCTTCTTCCCGATGCCTCGGAGTTGGATCTTCGCTCGTGACTGTGATCTACGCACAACTTTCTACGCTGCCACTGGGGCTTCGTCCTTCTTGCCGCTTCCACCGCTTCCACCCTGCCGGCGGCGCTGTAACCTAATCTGAGGCGGTTGTCATGGCGAACGCGGAGGCCTATCGTATGCCAGTCTAAAGATCAAATTATACCCTCCTGGCGTTATCGCTCGCTCGCAACGCCTCGCCGTTCGTCAAGGCAAGGACCGTTGCAGTCGACGTCCGGCCAGGTGAGTGATGTCGAGGCCTCGCTTTTCAGTACTAACATATTAAACAAAAAACAGAACATTTTGCTCGTAACTTTTGCTGTTATTGTGTAAACATGGATGCGAAGTTCCTTGTATATATGACTGTAAATAGAGAAGGGGATTTATGTGTGATCAATAGCTAGAGCTGTGCTATCGAACTTTTCGTCTTTAAAAAAATAAAGGAAACAGGTTTCATAAGTGGGTTGGAAAGGGTTGGAAACTGCATTTCAGAACGCACTCAACAGCAACACAAAGATATGTCGTCCGGTGAATAATAGTCCTATCAAAGTCGCAAGCGCGAGGGCGTAGTTTCTCGAACGTTCTTTATTTCTACGGGCGCTGAATCGCAGAAAACGTTCACTAAAGTTGAATGCTCGCACCCACACCTCTTGTAAAGCTTCACAAAACTGCGTAAATTAAGTGTTGTCCTGTTTGCATGTACTGACAGTATCGACAACCTTAGACGTTGAGTGTGTGCTGGCACTCGTACTACACCACTTAAAGGGGCGATGCAACAATGTTTGTACTTTGCGCAAATACCGCTTAGAACGGATCCCTGACACTAATGACATATGAAACACGCGTTCGTTTTTCACCCCACGCAATAGAAGTCCCAGAAACAAATTAAAGAAAAACGAGCAGCGTTCACCCCCTCAAATCGCAGCCAGAACAAGCGGTCACGTGATCTGGAGCCGATTATATGCCGCCAATGTAGATCATAGCCTCGCGCTGGGGTTGGCAAAGCACAGGGCACGCGCTGAGTTCCAGATATTGTTATTGCTCGGCTATTGTCGTCGTTGCAGCGATTGGACACGGGCCACTACCCGAATGCTTCTCGAGCTAGTAATTATCACGAGCCCAAATCGAGTGCCCACTCAATGCTCGGGTTCAATCTATGAACAGCCTTCAAATATCGTCATATGGGTGTACTGCGATCCCACGTTACGTCATGACATTTTGCAAAGGAGAGAGTGAATGAAAAGGATCGCTTTTGCCTTTGAAATTACACCGCAACAAAGGAGTTTCTTGGCCAGCGGAGTTCCGTGCGAACATTCTTGACTCCTACTAGTGCCAGTAAGCTCGTGTATAGTGAAAAACATTCCAACTGAATATCGTTGCACAGCTCCTTTAAGCACATCATTAAAATTATTATACTTAATAAACACTTCGTAATTCTACCAACATCTTTTGCTATTCTCAACATATTTATACTTCCTTGCACTTATCTTCTTGGGCACCCATCGAAGCTGCGTACGCGTTATTTTCCCTTTTTTTTCCGAAGTGACAAGAGGGAGGCGACTCGGAGTGTACACAATATATGTAGCTTGCATTGACGTCATATTAGCTTTCATTGTGGTTGCTTTGCTGCTGATAGGGTGGCCTCTGAAGCATGCATTTCGATCCACCGATGTAGTTTTTCTCGCCAAGATGAAGTAGGAATGACGCAGAACGACCACCAGCACGGGTTGATGACGTCACGTCAAAGCCATGTAAAGTATCCGTATCGTATAGATATAAAGAGAGAGAGAGAGAAAAGTATTGATTGAAAGAGAGCACTTAGTCCGATCCCCAAGCTCGAACAGGCTACTCCGGTAAGGGAACCCCTGTATCGAAAGGCTCACTGAACTTGTCTTTCGCGACCTGGAGGCAATATTGGAGATACGAAAAACAAGCGAGAGCCAGATTGTTGCTAGCCCCGAGCAAGCACTCTAGCACTTTAGCGTATTGCCAGCATCAAACCTATTTGCTCCAAAAACAAAGATCCTTTTGATACGGGCGGTATTTTTTTTTTTTTTTTGCTATCTAAGCTGCAGGAGGCTCTGTAAAAAAGCCGGTACATCTAAAGTATCTCTTGCACAGTGGCTAGTGCGTCAAAGTATTTAGATTGCACCGGCAGAGTCAAATGTTCGATTCAGAGATCGAAGCTAGAAAGTTCGCTTTCTTTCCGGATTATATTAAGTGTGATTGCGATAGTATACTGTTATTCTCGAATGTGCTAATGCTATGAATAAAAATGGCAGCTGCTGAAACAAGAGCAACTTGTTATTCGGAACCTCCCTTATTTCCTGTACTCATTATAGTCCCCACATAAACAACGGAATGCACAACACATTATAGTCCCCACATGAACAACGAAAGCGCGCGTAGTGTACAAGAAAAAAATATCTATGGCAACACGTACTGCTCGTTTCTTAGCTTTTGTTTTCGCTATCTATGAGGTTGCCATCAACGGCGCGAAGTTGTCCTAAACTACGCTCCTCCAGTCTACAGTACATGCAATACTTAGTCGTGAGCTGTCGGCCATCTCTTGCTAAGTTACACGAGCGCGTCTGAGCACCGGTAACGCGAATTGGACATTGATAGTTTTGCATATTGAACATACAAGATAATTAAGTTACAAAAGTTATCGGTCAAGCGAATTTTGTCTACACAATTTAAAAAGAAACACCACCAGAACTACCTGACACTCTAAACAAAGGGTGGCACTCACCTCATCCAACGATGTTTTAGTGAACGCCCGACTCATCCTCGAAAGACAGACACTTTAGCGAATGGTCGGCCGCCGCGAAGCGGCGTTCACGGGTGGAGTAAACGCAGGGGGCGGGGGAGGGGGGGGGGGGGGGGGGGGTTAAAGCTTTACTGAAACGTCAGTTCGCTCAAATGACCGTTGTTCGCTAAAACCTCATTCCCTCATTTGTAATGGACATCTAAATTAATATATATATGTAATAAAGGTTCGTGTGGAGCTGTGTTATTGTATTTTATTTAAGCCGAACATATTTCATATTTAAATCGGAACCTATAGCGAATCTAAATTGAACGTTCAAACTTTAGGCTGTTTTAGTCTTCGTCCTACCGTGCGATGGACAACAGCCAAGAGACGGGCCGCCAGGTTCTATCACGAGCAAATTAGAAACCACGTGGTATACTGCTCCAATTAACGTGCATATCAAATAACCGTGCACTGATAACACGCCGAGATTGGCTTTTGACTGGACCCGGCGGTTCATAGCTTTGACTGCAGTTCATCGCAGGCTGAGACAAACTGTAGTGAGCATAGTGCAATTCCCTACAGTGTGTGGTAAGCTTCTAGCACGCTCACGGTGCTGAACTTTCTTTTCATACTTCTGTCTGAACGTGTATGTTCCGAATATTGAATTTCGCATGAACGCAATTTAGAGCAAAACAATGATAGTGAAATCTATATAGCAGTAAAGTCAAAGTTAAAAGGAAGCAGGGGCTTACTGCGTTTTCATTGTTGTTGTTGTTTTTTGTTTTGTTTTTTGTGTTTGTTTTTTACTAAGTTTAAGCCTTCATACCCGTTGAGGACACAATATTAGTCGTGAAAAATATAGAAAAACAACGCTTTGGCTTGCCATATATTATATTCTCTGTGATGACTAACATGTTGGCTGAGCCTATACAACCGTCAAAATGTGGCGGCTCAGGTTGTAACGGCGTGTCAGGTTTTCTGTGGAGCTGCCAAGAGTTCTGACACAGAGAGTCATGTCAGCAGAAAAGGAGAGTTGCCTGCCATGTGCGAAATGTTTACCCGCCCCCTATTGCGAAAAAAAAATAATTCCCAGTTATGAGTCCATCGTTGCTAGCTTATGTTAAGGCCTTGCTTATCCCTTATCTTTCACCTTTCTAATTTATCTTACTTCGAAGGTTCTGAATACCACCCGCTTCCTTTTTTAGGGCCACAACGGAAGTTTAAGCAACCTCTCCACGTTTCATGAAACACTCGGAGACACTTAAGTGACTGTATAATGAACATTCACTCCTCGGTGTCTTATCATACACGTGAGAGTCGTTTTCTTTAATTTTTAAGGAGTAAAAAAATATTTATTTTTAGCTTTATCCATTTTACACGTGCATATTAACACAATTCTGACACATGTATACAAATATATAACGCTAGTGAGTCAGAAGCGTAGGTGTCCTGAATTTTCGCAAGCAGAATTAAACTATTCCTCTCCGTCTCCTTCCAAACACTTCATGGTTCATGCAGAACGAACCGTATAGTGATCAGGGCATCGACGTCCTTGGGATCAAACCAGAGTAGCCCTAATGCATTTCTTGCGCTGGAAGGAAGGACTGCGCACGGTGGGACTGCGTCAGCGCTTAGCTTGGGATCAGATACAGTCAGTGCTTCGGGGATCGTTCGACTTGAAGTCTGTGTCCAGTTACTCGGGTGACGAGACTCGCCTAGCTCTAACAACATTCGGGTTACATTTCGAGCCCTCTGCTTTCGTAGCCTCAGCGAATGAATATGAGAAAACCTTATACTACTTTTTTTTAACTACAAGGTACAGCAGGCCACAGTTTGACCGAAGTAAGATTGATTTGGCCGAATATAGCTGGCACTAAATCACGCGGCCTCTTATTCTGGCTGCGAGTTAAATAGATAAACGCTGCTCGCTTTTCTTACCTGAGGACGGAGAGAATTAGTGCACGCTCCGTATGGTATGACCATAAAAAAAAATCGATCGTTATTGAGCGAAGGTTAAAAAATTGTTCAATGTAAACCTTTTAAGTGGTAAAATATGTTTACCAGTGCATTCTTTTTATGAAAGGTCAAACAGAGTGGTACGTGTATGTCACAATAAAAAGCGAGTTAATTACAGCCCTTACGCATGAGCGCTAATAATGGCACCAACCAGGTCGACTTTAATTGAACGGTTATCGTGCATGCAAGTGAAACTTTGACAATTCTGCGATCATACGTACATTCCCACGCGAGCAGAGTCACGGCAGCTGTCAGAGCACCCTGTCTGTAACCGCCTATGCAGAGTTCCACAGAAGGACTCCTGTCAGGTGCTATTCTAATGTTGATGTGTTTGGAGTTTACCTTACTTGTGGAAACGGCGAGTCGCACCATTGGATTGTACTTATCACATGACAGACTGAGTAAACTACCATATCGCTAGTCAAGAATGCCATGTGTACGGGCTGCGCAAGTGCTCGCATAGATGGGAGTACCTACTAAAGCTATCAGCTCGCAGTTGCTCCCTACGGCCACAGAAACCTAGGTTGAAAGCTTACTTTCGGGAACTTTTTAATGAAACGTTCTCCTTTCTCTTTTCATGGCGCCATGACTTAACCGCTCGATGTTCTGAACAGTTTATATGGCAGAAAATAAACAGCCGTTACATATTGGCTTTGTACCCTTGTGGCTTAATGTAGCCGCAGGTTCAATTCATAGAACAAACATATAGGTATAGGTGAAGTTGGTATTTATGATTGGGTAAAAGTATTTATTTAATTCGGCGACTAAAACATGAATCTGCAAGAACAAATCAGAAAAGAGTTCGGTCGCGATTGCGAGCAATGCTTATTGCACCCCAGAGCACGCATTGTGGAATGCGGAGATCCTTGAACACGATCTTTCTTGGTTTTTGTTTTTTTCTTTCAAAAATTGTGTTATGGCACTCAAGTTCCCGGAAATCCCGAATATTAAAACGATGTGTTTCTCGATTAGGGTTCATCCGAAAAGCGATACACTCGAGTGTGACGAAAAAGCGTTACACGCAGACCAGGGCAACCTAAAGCATACCCAGCCCCATAGCAGGCGATGCATAAACATTCAAAGAAAATGCATGTTTTAGTCATAATTAAGCATACGTACTCGTACGATTCATTATGACGTAATTATTTGTACTAAATTTACCAACCGGCCCAATGGGAATCGTACTCCAGACCATGCGATTCGCAGCCCGATGCCTTTGCTTAGTGCTACAAGAAGGACTTTAATGGGCACTCAATCAGCAGAACCTAGTGTTACTCACGGACGCTTGCGGGAACAGGCGACCGTCGGCGTGCGCCGGCTTTCGAATCAGGAGCGCAGCTCTCACACGATCCACCGACGTCACGGGAGAAATCATAACGCGTCAAGAAATAGCAACAAGGTAGTCAATAGATGGAGTAGCGAGTGCTTTAAACCTCCTTCCCTCGCTACTACTTCAGCTACCACAATGCAAGAACATTGGAAGCTCAAACAGTTGCGCGCACTCTCAGGAGAAGCAGAATCCGCGGAAACTTCTCATTAAAGCATGTTCCTCACACGCACCATTCCTGAATAAATATAAAATTTCCTCGATAATTTTGATAACCCCGAGAAGCACATAACTGTCTCATGCGTGCATCGCATCCGAAACAAACAAAGCTTCCCGAAACCGAGCAAAACAAATCATAATGCATGCAAAACGCATTCTGTGCTTCCCAGGTTAATCAGACTGATAGAGACAAGTTTAAATTTATTTCTCACAGCTAAACAGATGTTCGCAGTAAAAACTATCATAATATCTACATGAAAACATAATTTACTCTCCTCGAGTTTTGTTTCGTGTCTAGCCTGACACACAATATTTTCTCTTTTTTTTTTCAGAATACATTTTTCGTCATGATGTCTACTTGGGTAACAGGCGCCACGTTATGGAGCCTCGTTCTTTTTTCCGGTGTTCGGGGCAACATTTTGACCGATTTGCTGACTGGTGCAAAATCCCAAGACGTTAACAACACTGTAACTCAGAGCACTCCGGGCCCGTTTCTTACGACCCCGGGAAATATGTGCACTTCCTACCAGTGTGGTTGCTATAAAGGAGAGCCACCGAAGAAGATCGACTGCTCTTACAGAAAGATCAGCATACTGAACCGGCTCGCGCTGCCTCGTGAAGTTTACGAAATCAGCTTGTCCGGAAATAATCTTTCCAAGATCTTCGACACGTACTTCTACGCCGGGCCTGGACTGCACGTACTAGATCTGTCCCACAATCCCATCGACTTCGTGGCCATCACGTCGTTCCAGATGTTCACGCAGCTCAACAGACTATCGTTGTCTCACAACAGGCTGACGTCTCTGGACGAGCAAGTCTTCAGAGGACTTGGCCAGCTGCAGTCTCTCGACCTCAGCTACAACAGGCTGTCTTCCTTGTACCCCAAAGATTTCGACTACCTCGAGAACCTCAACGAGCTCAACTTGGCACACAACCCGCTGCTCGAATTCAACGGAAACGCGTTCAGCAAGCTGACATCCCTCAACAAGCTCAACATTCAAAGCACCGGCATCACGAGCTTCAGGAAGACCGATTTCGACAGCCTGACTAACTTAAAGTGGCTGGACATCAGCGGCAACGGGTTCCAGAACGTGCCGCTCAAGGGCCTTCACAAGCTGAGTCAGTTAAGTTACCTGGACCTGAGCCGGAACCCGATTCGAACGATCCCACCGTACAGCTTTTACAACCTGACGTCGCTGAGGAGCCTCATCCTGAGGTACATGGTCGACTTGGTCAGCGTCGAAGCCCACGCCTTCGGCGACGTGGCGAGTCTGAAGATCGTGGACTTCAGCTTCAGTCACATGCTTGCCAGAATAGACGCGAAAGCCTTCGCGCTCAACTCTTCGGATGCCAAGATTGAGCTGGACGAGTTCTACGCGCGTCAGACGGCCCTGGAGACACTGTCTCAGTTCCTCCTCAACTGGGACTACGTGAACAAAGTGGATTTCGGCGAGAACAACTGGAGGTGCGACTGCTTGCTCGAGTGGATGCCGCACATCGTGCGAAGAGATGCACTGGACGGAAAACTGAGGTGAGCTTGCCCTCATTTTTTTATAGCCGACATGTCCCTGAATGTTCACCGAATGTTGCATGGGCATGCGCTCATCAGGACTGCGGTCCAACAGTGGCCGCCGTCATTGTGCAGAACATTTTAGTATTTATTGGCATAAACATAACGATACTTAGGAATCATAATACTAGTTATCATTTAATTGACGTTGCAAAAAATATTGAAACTTTGCAATGCTCATAATAATATTTCACGAGTGTTTCTGTAGATAACAGACGGATGATAAATTAATGTCTCCTAGAAGCTTCAGAGTGGGCACCGACGCTTCGTTAGGACACTTAACTCCTTCAGAAATTTGTGTTTTTTCTTGTTTGCTTTTTTTATTTTTTTGCTGTTCTTTTTTTTGTCGACCTTATTTGTTTCGCTTGACCTCTGATATCATTTTTTTTTTCAGCTTTGACCAGTTGGGGAAGTTTTGTATGAAGTAACTTTTATGAAGTTTTGGTTGTTAAAAAGAAAGCATCTTTAAATTGCGTTATTAAAAATTAAATATCAAATATAAATTATGAAGACGCGGCTCCCTACCCAGTCTTGCAAACTTCTTCCTCAACAAAAAAAAAAGATCCTTTTTTTAGTAAATTTTTTGAGGTGTTTTGCTGCTTTATTTTGTCACTATTTAAAGTAGAAATGACACGACGAAAAACAAGAAGCACTGGCGCCTTCTTGACGTGCACATTTGGCCATCCAAAGACGTTTCGAAAACAAACAAATTAATTTGATGTATCCATCTAGATTCAGATATTTATCGTCTTGGTGCAAACATTATTTAATTTATTTAGAGGCCAGTACCTATGAGCCCCCCAAAATACCTATAAATAGATAGGCACACGCGCTACTTCACGATGCACCATAAAGGGAACGATGTTGCGTACACATGCAGCTTTATTTAATGACAATTGGGTAAAAGTTTCGTTGTTTTTTTTTCTGCCGCAGACTAAAAAGACATCATCAGGGATAAGCCGCCTGAATGCTTAAGTCACTTGCAAATTTTTATGAGAATCTACGGAAAGATAAATGAAATGATCCAGTCAGCCCATATTTAGACAACATACAGAATTGAGTGGGCTATACGCACCTTTACTTAGATGTTAGCACCTGAAAGTATTAAAACTCTTTTTTTATGCGAGTTGTAGAACACTAGAGAAAATTTAAGTTTATAGTTTTGTCGCCATGCTTAGGAACATTAAGAAACGTATTTGCGATTTGAAACGAGTCAACTAGTGGCTGCACTGTGCATATCTATATATAGCTTTAAAAGCTTTGCAGCAGTGCTACTAATGAATCAAGTGGAGCCCCTAAAATGGAACGAAAGCAGCAAATTACAACGCATATTCGAGTTTGGAGGGGGCCCAATATCAGCAATAAGATGAAACGATCGTGAATTACGGCGTAACTTTGAAAAGATCCTCGCTCTGCCACAACGACCCCTCTTCTTGCATTCGTCGTCCCGCTTGCCTATTTGTACGCATGTACACTATATTAAAAAGCTGTGGCTTCGTAAGAACGCAGTGAATCTGACCTATCCAAGGGGTCACCAACTTTGTGTACAAACACAGAGACGTAAATAGCGAGAGTTGGTGAATTCCGGCCTTGCTACCAACCGAAGGTGATAGAAATTTCGGCGTCTCAAAGCAGTTGTTAAAGAAGCATGGTCTCTAGCGAAATAAAAAAACTCTTAAACTGCTTGCAGTACTGCGCCATGCGAAATTATCACCCGAAACGGAACGCCATTAATGCTGGTCATACTGTAAATGAGGTAGATAAAAAGCCCCGGAGCGGCTACCACAACTCATACAATGTGAACCCAAAAAACATTTACAGTGCACTGCGAACAAAAATTAGCATCGGCAAACGCTCGATTTTTACCCAAATGTACCACTATCAGTCCGGACCAGATTCCAAGGCTTCAGATGGCTTGCCGTTACCTGGTTCATAAGTTAAAAGCAATTTTCTGAAAGTTTCAATTTAAAATGGGTCCTATTTCAGGTAGCCGACGGCAGTCAGCTTAATGATTCGCGGGCTGTAGTAAAGAGGTAATTTGAGCTAGTTGGTACATGACTAAGATTAGCGCACAAAACGTCGGAGGAAAAAAAAAAGCGACCTTTTGTTCTACTACTTTTCTCTTCCTCCGAAGTTTCGTGCCCTGTTGAATCTTATTCGCGGGCTTCGATCGCCGGCCGTCATTTTTCTAGTGAAAATTTCACAAAACCGGCAAACTCTGAAACTTTGGCATTTGGTCCGGACCGAGCGCTACATTCGGGCAGAGATGAAGCGTTCGGCGATGCGCAATTTATTTTTGCGGTGAAAAACATACTGTAACATTTTTGGGGGCACCCTATTTATGTCACCAAACATGTTCATATTACCATCTTGGCAAAATAAAGTCTATCAAATATCTACTAAAAAAGATTTAAACGGTCAGCATTTATTTTTAAACTAGAGTAATAAAAAAAAACTCAGTACTTTTGTAAATTGTGCATTTATTCTGCAATCACCGTTTGACCTAAAAGGGATTACGTAACTAACGGCATACTTTATCATAGTTTATAATAATCATAAAAGTTGATACTTTTCCTCCCTGTGCATGATGAACTCCTTCCGAAAGACTGGCTTCTGTCGCTAGCTGTGGAAACTACAAAATGGCGGACTAAAACCACAACGTCACGACGCACTTTAAGCGTTTGGTTGGATTAGAAAGCAAAAAACATACTCAGAGAAAAAGGTGATGAGCGCAGTGACGTTGCACCTTCCAAGCTGTTCGATTGGCTCGCCAGCGTAGGCCGAGCTCCGACGTCCGCTATCTCATGGAATGGCTTGCACGTTCCACGATAGCACTTGTTCCGCCATTGTGCAGTGGTTTCAACCTTCGAATAACCGGCACGTGACTTTCGAAAGGGAATCTATAAAGTACTAAATTCGGGCCCTCAAAAACACCTCCCTTTTAATTTCGGTGGCAAATAGCTCGCGACTTCCTCTCCCGCTCCTCAGGTGCGGCAGCCCGAAAAGTCTCGAAGGGCGGCTGATCGTGAAGCTGAACCCGGGAGACTTCCAGTGCTTGGACAGCGTATCCCTGGACCACCCGAGCTGGAGGGAGGTCAACGTAGCCATGAAGGTGGCCCTGGGTCTCCTTATCACCATCACCATCGCCCTGGCCGCGGTCATTTTGACCCTCCTGTTCTTCAGGATCCGCGCCCAGCCCCACATGTACAGGAGCCTCAAGCAGAGATTGGGATATGCAACCGAAGACTAAATGCAGCTCCGCCACCTTTTTCCTACGAACTCGACCAGCTCCGTCTCTGTTGAACTTTGGTTTCGGAAGAAAACGATTGAATTTGACACACCCACCATCGCGGTGGGAGTGCTAAGTTGACAAGGTGGTGGAAGCTACATGCTCGCCAGTGTAATCAATCGCCTGCCTTTAATAGACGAAACCCGCCCTTTTTCTCTCTTCGCCTTGCGAATGTGTGCAGAGAGCGAGATCACGTGGTCTGAACAGACGTGGTGCAGAAACTAACGAGCAAGTAGATACCACCGCCCTGTCAGTTTAGCACTGAACGATGTACAGTTTGGGCCTCGTGGCAAGTGACGTGGTCGTATGTATCGAGTGGAGTGTGTGCACAACAATGCGTTCGACCTTTTTTTTTTTTTTTGCAACCGACGTATTTAATTGATCGATGACTCGTAGGGAATGAGATAGCAGTGCTGACCGTCGTGATGCTGGATCGTAGGCGACACGTAAAGGCAGACCGGGGTAAACTTACAGTGACGTACCTGTCCGGTTGCTTCAGCTAAGTCACTGCGAGACTGAAACCGTTCCTTCGTGTCTGCTTAACCTCCTTGTGACGAAGCGTTCGGGACGCTCACTTGGAGCTTTGGGACACGTTACAAATGCTAGAATGCTTTGGTTTCTAATGGCTGTAAACATGGGATGCTCATTCGACGAGTGATTTTTACTATCCCGTATAATCAACCCAAATGTAAGTCGAGGTAATTCATTTTGGTGTACTCGTTACACTAAAATCAGTGATATTCACCGCCCACCCACACACCCTCCCTCCCGCTTTTAAACTCGGCACATCCTTATTTCTTAATCGCTCTCGCTCTGCGTTCTTGATGTTCTTAAAGAGACACAAAGTGACCGAAAAAACGATCGTCAATTTTTTCCCTCTTTTTACTTTGAGTTTTGCTGTCATCAATAATGCTAGTATGGTGGAGAGTGCTATTCGAGTCTCCGTTCTTGAGTGTAAAGTGTTTTGCTCTTCAATGCATACCGTGTATTAGTAATATGTGAAAAAGCGCTGCTCGTTGGCGCAAATTATGCAGAGAGCAAGCCGTCTGATTCTTGCGTAGGAATTGCGGTGACGTCAGAACGACGCTGAGCTCTGATTGGCTATGATTCAAAGGGTAGTGGGTAAACCTCAATGCTAAATGCCTTGAGGCCTACCCACTAGCACTAAGGTCTACCCGCTATTTTTTTTTTTTTTTTTCAATCACCCAATCAGAGTTTGGCGTTCTGACATCATCGCAACCCCTGTGCAGGAAGCAGACGAACTTGCGTTCCGCATAGGCCAGTTCACACAGCCCTTTTCTTACGCTACGTTATGTTACAAGAACTGGAGGCTGGTTTACACACACATTTGCAACGCTTGCGTTCGCATGCAACCAAAACGATCGTAACGACAAAAACACCGCAGCAGCCGTGGCTCATGGATTGCTTCGCGAAGCTACCGCACTTGCCATGCTGTGTACGGCGAATGCTTGTCTCGGTGACTTTGTCGTTACGGTCGTTTCGGTTGCGTGCGAACGCAACCAAGCAGATGTGTGAACCAGCCTTTACGCCTGCTTACGTCGAAAGCCACTGGGACATCCGTGATTCGTATGAAACGTGGCAACCAACTGAAGAAGCAGCCTTGCGTGAGACGTATACGAAGCACGGTTGTCTTGGTGGCAAGCGTCCATGTGTGAATAGGCCTTATGTCGTCGGTGTCCACAAAGACGCTAGCTCGTTTACAACAAACTCTTTAGTACCACCGAACCCTTGAACGTAATCGCAGTATGTGTAAATAGGCCTGTAAATGACCACTGGGATGTTTTTGTTTGTACGCTGCTTTAACTTCAGGGATCCTCGGATGAATGCTTTGGAGCGGGATAGTTTTGCTTTTGTCACTCCGTTTGCTTTCGTTGCAGAGAAAACAAATCGGAGTGTGGATTCGAATTTGGAATTGAGCATCTGCTTGGAGGGTATCCTTGTAGTACCCGTGCCACACGGGCAACTCGAATGTCATTTACAACGAATGGCATTTGTGCAGTGGCGTAGGCAGGGGGGGGGTCCCGCCCCCGAAATGGCAAAGCTACCCCCCCCCCCCCCCCACGGAGCCCGCTCGCTCCCTTGCTGGCGCAGTCGGTTTTAGACGAGGCACGGAGCAACGGGGGAGCGCGAACCATCTCCAACTTATATGCTTTCGGGAAAATCGTTTGTGGTGTAGAAAATGCTCAAATTAATAAAATATGCAATATTGCTTCTTTCATGTTTGTTCGATGGGATGTGGAACTTGATCTGAGATATATAGAAAACGGATATTTCGAAACATTTGTGGGGTGAAGGATGACAATTTCAAAGCAAAGTATTACAAACTATTTTCACCGAAATACACAGTTCAATCAAACAAAAGCGAACATAATAAAACGAATACAGGGTGATAATATAAAACAATGTCAGTGATGTAAGGAATAATAAATGAATTGTAAAAAAACAATTGCACTGTAAACAACGGGTGGCGCTGCGCTCCCACACGCCTTTTGTGATCAGAATTACGTGCTTTCGACTAGAAATTACTGCGAATAAAAATGTAACTGTGTCTAGTTATATTAGAAAGCGATTTACAGGTTTTCTAGATCATCTCATTTATGCCAAGCGCCTTCACATCAAAATGCAGCCGCCTGCGTTCACGGAAAAAAAAAAAAAAATACCCAGGACGTCCTACGCTTGAACTTTAATGTCCCGGTGAACATTAAAAGCGCTATACTTCGTTTCAGCTAAGGTCCAGACGCAGCCGATGCTACAAGTGCGAGCTTTAGGCTTTCAGCGTCCCTGCCAAGCACGCGCACTCGTTCGGTGCAAGCACTGTTCAGTGCCACATGCACGAGCTTGTAGCATCGGCTGCGAAACGAAGTATAGACCGAGAAGTCGCTCATTCGAAGTGGACGCTCTCAGTCATGTTTTAAATCGTCGTCGCGAAGAGAACGAGCGCTCAACTTCTGCCGTTAGGCAGAGTCGCTAGGATCATGAGGAGACGATGGACATTCTGAAATAGGGCATCCGGACAGAGGGCGGCCACCTGTATACCACACACGTGACGGTTGTTTAATCTATTTTTGGCGAAGTTTCTTTCACGTTGCAAAAATCGTCGCTCACGGATGCGATGAGGTTCGTCCTGCTTTCTGCTTTGTATGTTGAGGTGGCATCCGATGCAATTTCTTATTAGATTATTCTCTTCGTTGCACGGAACATCAGCAACTTCGAAGAGACAAGCCTTCATATTCTCACTAGGCATAGGTGAAAAGGTAGTCAAAATCCTTTCCACGTTCGGCGTGTAGTTTGTGCGTGGTGCGTCATGTCATTTCTCCGAGTGACGGAACGACGAGTTCGGACTGATGACTTCTCCTTACCCCGAGGGTATGCTGCCTGCTGCCTTTAAACCCCGCTGAAACATAAAGTTGCCTAGCAAAAATAAGACTTTCTTTTCTTCTGAATCTGGTTCTGTAGCACGAATTTGTTAAACCTTCAATAGATAATAAATTTTGGTTTTCTGATTGTTCAGAATTACCTTCGCCCTAAATATGGGCCCCTAGTGTTTCTGAGTGGTTGGTTGCTCCAATTTTTCAGCGTTGATTTTTTTTTTTTTTTTGCTGTCTAATTTTGTGAGGACAGTATAGCTATTCTTTTGTTTTGTTTGGCCTTCACGCGTTGGTAATGCAGTGCCATCTCAAAAAAGCGGAGGGAGTTGTGTGCTGTGAGGAAACTTTTAAAGTTGGTAGGTCGCAACTATGACATGTTCAGTGAGCAACCACGCCCGTAGTCCTGTAAATGAAGCCTGCACCGTTTTGAAAAATGACAATGCAGCTTTACACGTTTTATCTTAACAGCGCCTCCCTAATCTCTGCCTGAGCGTCCGTACCAGCGAGCTCACCACGCGTCATTGCGGGGGGGGGGGGGGGGGGGGGGGGGGGGATGGGGGGATGGCGTTGAACCCTTTCCGAAAGAAACGTCGGGCTACGCCACTGCATTTGTGTGATTGGCGAATCAGCTCGCAAGCTGTCGCGCGTGGAAAGCGCTGATTTGCCGTCCGCTCAAATGTCATTCGTTGTAAATGCATTCGAGTTGCCCGTGTAGCACGGCCATTAAGCAATTTGCTCTTGGAACAAGGATTAGTTGCTTTGTCAGAAATATACAAAAAAAAACATTTTTTTTTTTTTTTGCATGTTCTTTCGTTTTTTACTCAAAAAAGAAAAAAAAAGCTCCCAAAAGTAGTTTCAGGGGTTCTTCGGCTTGGGGGGGGGGTCGAAGTTTTGCACCCTAAAAAAGTTATTTTAAGCGCCCCCTGAAAGGGTTCTTTGTGAAGATCTGTAACTGGTTCTTTTACGCTCTTTTGTTGATGCAAAACAGTTCTTCATCGCCCAGTTGCCTTTCTAGTACGCAAGGGGGCGATAGTGCTTGAAGGGAAACCCTTTTTCCTGAGCTGAAATAGTTCTTTGGGGTGTCAAAAAACCTTTCCAACAAGTTTTTTTTTTAGGGTGTAGGTTTTTACTTAAGCCACTAAGCATGAATGAAGGGGTATAAAAAAAAATCCGATCTCGTAGTAATTAATATTTAAACTCTAATGTGCCGCAATTATGTTTAACATTTATTTCGAACTCCGATCCGTCTCATGGTCATGCTTTCCTGTAGCGGCTATTTTAGATACAGATTGGTGTTTTATGGCGTAATATCTATATTTATTGTGCAAACAATAAATGTGAAAAGCACATGTCTGTCATAAGAAAACGTCGATAGTAAACAAATAAAGTCGCCTTTTTTGGTGGTAAGAAGGAAGTGTCAATCAATCAATATTCTAAGAGCGTGTAAGTTGATGCCACTTAGTTGTGTGTGCTTTCGCGAGTGCGTGTGTTTATTTTATTTTTATAATTTTCCACTTCACTGCATTTGGCATAATGAGCAAAAGTAAATCGTATTTAAATAAAGGCGAGTGTAAAAATAATATCTCGATTAACTTTTAGTTTTCTTTCATCCAACACGAACAGAAAGGTTGTCCCAAAAGTATAGACGAATACATCCAGAGATTACACGACTGAAAAGTAAGAAAATAAGTATGAACTACGACATAACAATATTCGGCTACTGATAACGCATATTGTTTGAACGTATTATAATGCGAAAAGGCTACCTGTGATGCGAGTTGAAGTTTTTTTTTTTAATGAATAGTAAACCCATTTACATATTCAAATTGCACGTGCAGAACAAATCGTTAGGATGAAGCAAGCTATAGCCAAGAATAAGACAGCGATCACGTTTGAACCCAGCTGTGCAATCTGCGTTGGGACTCTGAACACGTCCACAAAATGGCGCAGATAGCTATCTTTTTTGAGT